CCCCAAAACCCCAAAACCCCAAAACCCCAAAACCCCGTACAGCTATAAATTGTTTGAATAGTTTAATAACTTAATTAAAAAGAAAATGACTAAACGCGATTTAATAAGAGGCAACTCTACTACAAATACTAGCGCTAGTTCTGATGTATCTGATAAGGACCTCACTTCTAAAGCAAGCAAGCAATGCTCAAATCAAAGCAAGGTATATTTTCTTTAAAAATAATACTAACTTCCATAGGAAAATGAAGGGAAAATGCTTCAATCAATTCCAGACTCTGCACTTTTTCCGACTTGTGTACTTGGGATTTACACTTGCTACTTCGCCTATGGATACCTTCAAGAAGAGATCATTGCTGTGTCTCAGATCAGTGCTGGAGTACCTTTGTTCATGCAATATCTGACTGCTTTACTAATCTCTCTGGGGGTAAAAATATTCCTCTCAAGTTCAAATGACACAAAGTTCAAACTGGTTAGGTACAAAGAGCTGAGAATTGGATTCATTAACAATTGCTCAATGTTTGGAAGCAACTACGCTCTCAAGTATGTTGATTATCCAACACAAGCCTTGTTCAAAAGCTCCAAAATCCTTCCAGTAATGGGCCTTGGTCTAATCAGGAGGACTTATTCGTACCCGCTTTATAAATACATCTGAGCTGGAGTAATAACACTTGGATTGGTAGTATTCAACATTGCTAAGCTTGGATCTAAAGTTAACTCGATGGCTATCAATACCACAGGACTTTTGCTTCTCTTCTTCAGTCTCTTCTTTGATGGACTTGTAGCCACCCAGACCGATAAGGATAAAAATAAGGGAGAGAAATCAACTCCATTTGATTTGATGTTCGCGAATAATTTGTGTGGAATCATATCAAGCTCTCTGGTTATCTTGTCAACTTATTTTTCAACCGGAGAATTTATCTTAAATGAAATTACCTTCTCAAACTTAGATGAGCTCCTCCTGATTGCTCTTGCTGGAACCATTGGGCAGATAATTATCTACATTACGATCAATAGATTTGACTGCTTCATCTTGAGTATCGTAAACACATCCAGAAAGTTCTTCAGTATCCTATTCTCGATTGTTTACTTCAGTCATCCGATTTCCTTCTTACATTGGGTAGGAATCACCCTTGTAATTGGCTCGATCAGTGCAGATGTATTCCTTTCCCATAGAGAGAAGAAACAAAGAGCTTTAAAGAAAGTTAAATAATTTATATAAAATCACCTTGTTCTACACAAATTTTTAAATTCATGGTGAATGTCAACCACAAATCCTTCCAAAAATGGAAGCTCTTCCTTAAAATTAGGAGATTTTATGAATTTATTAGAATTTAGTTAGATTTTAGTGCAGATTCATGATTTTAACTGGGAAAGGAGATGGAATTTTTTGGGAGGGGGATTTAGTGAATACACCAGGCTATCTGATCAAAAATTATTCCAAAATCAATACATTTAGATAGGACCTAATTTACTTCAACCTTATTTTTACAAAAAGGGGTTTTGGGGTTTTGGGGTTTTGGGGTTTTGGGGTTTTGGGGTTTTGGGGTTTTGGGG